CGAGCTATACGGGCTTCGCGCGGTCTGATGGTGGCTGGGCATGGGCTGCACAAGCAGTAAACTGTGAGGGCGGCAGGCCACGCGGGCAGGGCGAGGCCCGCGCATTTTTTCCTTTCTCTTGCGCTGTGGGCCGCGAGTGAACTGGGCCACACGTGCAATATGCCGCTCCTTTGGGATTCTCACGTGGCTGGTGGACTAAGGCTGACTTCTAGGAGTTGGGCCTCCATGATGCCGTGGTGGGTGCAGACATTTGAGCTGGGAATACCGACCACGCGCACAGCGGGTGGAGCACGCTAGAAAAAATCCTGTCAGGTAGATGTCTTCGGTTCTAGCGAAGATAACCACCCGTGTGTGTACTCCAACGAGTAGATTCCGACGAGGGCCCTCGGTTCGAAGTGGTTCATCCGAAATCGACAGGAAAATGGAGAAAATGACCGGATTTTGACCAATTTTGTTCCAGATCCAAAAACTTTCACCTCAAAATTTACAGCCTTCCTAGAAGATTTTTTGCTTGAAAATTAAGGGTAGAACGAACACGAGAAGAGCTTCAGGATGATGTAAATATCTCTCTAGTCAGAGGATTTTTCACGACGGCGGCGGCGGCCGATGTAGGTGGTGCTCTGGAGACTCGTCTAGATGAAAGGATTATCATGGTGCTCCCGGATTTTTCATAGCCCTAACGGATCGCCAGGAAAATGAATTTGAAGATCGAATGAAGACCAAAATTTCACAGATCCAGAAAATTTGACCGGCTGAATCGAAGGGCTTCTTGGATGAATCATGAAATTTAAAGGAGAAATTCAACTCGAAAACATATACCCAATGACGTTAAAAATCTTCTGATCGGAGCACGTTTTTCGGCGATCGATGGCGGAGGGGGGGGGCGGCTGTGGAAGCTGCCGGTGGAGTTGAATGGGCTTGCTAGAAAATTTTCGATTTTTTTGGTCGGGACTCCCTTTGTCTTTAATGGATAAGAAGGAATATATTGAGGATAAGTCCACATATGGGCTAAGACACATGACATAATGATATGTGTCAAGCCCAACTTGGGTACTAAGGTAGACTCCCCCAATAAAAGAGGTTAAGGTATTCTAAAACATCATTCTCTCTACATTCATAACTACTCTTGTTATTTAGAGTTTTGGAGTGATATTACTTTTACCCACTCGGTTTTCCTCTTCATTTTTTTGTCTTGCAAGACTGCATGGTGAGTTTTCATTGTACTAGATTAGAGCCATTGATCGTCATCTGACCGTTGGTTACTAGATTAGCCCTAGCTAGGCCTAGGTTTTATGTTAGACTATAAATGTAACAGTTCCATAACCTCTTGTGGTTATCTTAAATAGAAAATTGTATCATGTTGTTTTTTATTCAAGCTTTTAGCTCATTAATGGCGGTCAACATTTCCCATACAATGTGCTTAAATCAACCTATATTTATTGATCGTATTGATTATGTTTCAAGTGATTCATAAAGAAAAAGAAGGAAATTTTAGATTTGCATGATATGGTATGACATATCAAGTGATTACAAATAATTAACAATGCAGGCATTACTTTAATTTTTTCGATGCCAATTGATTAATTTAATTTTACGATGTCACAAATTGCATTTGAAAGCACTCTTGAAATGTACGAATTGCATTTGAAAGTGAGCACTGTAGTAAAGTTGTTGCGGAACATCCCCTATAGTGGTTTACGCAACAATGCGTGTTTTGTTATAATGAGGCTAGACGAACATGTGTTATGGTGCATATATAGTATTAATTGGTTTACGGAATTGTAATATATATGATTATTATGCTTAGAATGAGTCTAACATCAAATCATGTATACCTTTTAAGTTTCAAGTGTGATAATTTACTTTGATGGTTTCCGATGCCCATGATGACTAACAAGAACCAATAACAATATTTTTTGCATAATGCTTTATACGTGTAGAACCTCATATTTACTTATGGTCAGTTGTGTTGTTATTTCAAGGGCCACAAATGCAAATAGAAAATGATTGTAAATATCAATTTGTAATCACATCACGAAGACGAAAAATGTTTTATATGAGTAAGTATTCAATAATGTATATATAGTTATTTGTATAAGTTACTCTTTATCTTTCAATGCTTTTTTTTTTCCAACGATAAACTGAATTAAATTAAAAACTCATAAACAAGTCTACACGGTGATCAAATGACCACAGCTACCAGTCCCCGAGGAGACACACGAGAAGCCCGAGATAGACAGACCTATCCCTAACAAGGCATCAAGCCTTAAAACAACAAACACTTAAAATAAGGTATCAACAGTTACATTACAATCCCGTAGGATATCCCTAATTTCCATAACAACATAACACAAGTCCCCCAATGGCACAGAAATCTTATTAATGCCTTCAACTAGCTCTCTGGACTCCAGTAGCAGGATAAACTCCCTGAAATTGTGATCTTTATCTTTCAATGTTACTATTATTGTTGTTCTTGTGCATTTACAAGGAAATAGTACTATTTCTATCCAAATATGTGAGTCGGTGGTATTTATTGTAATTTCTATAATTAATTAATGGGTAAGTTTTGCTTATACTTTGCATATCGGGATATATTTTGCTGGATTTTTTGTTAGTGCGAATTTTTTGAAATCTTAAAAGTTAAATAGACATATTACAATACTACTACAATACATGTGTATTATTATACGGGTGCTTGCTACGAAATTTATATTTAAAAATTGAAAAGTGTAAACAATGTTTTAAGTTTTAAATACTTTTTTTAAGAAAATTATATTATTATTTATATTTAAAACGACACCTGTCACTTATACGACTAACTACCTTTTGTTATAATATTTTTAACTCATACCATATAGGTAATTTGTAGGTAAATTATTTCACATGATTTTATTTTTCTCAATTAACATTAATAGGTACTTTAATGTTTAACATAAAGATAAATATATTTATTTATTTAGTTTTATGTACAGTATGGATGTAAAATTGAACCTCATCAAGACATGATTAGTTTGGCATATTATAAAAAAATAATAATAAATAAATAATGTATTAACTTTAAATTATATATAATTTAGGTTAGTAATTTTTTAACATCGCCCCTATATATAATTCCAGAATGCGCTGAGCCTACGTGGCTGCTTCTGGTGCTTCGGAATCTTACTTGGCGAAGAATCATGCTTCGTAATTAAGTTCGGACAAATAATATTGATATATTAATAATTAATATCTATGTTCGGACATTCCATTAATATTATTTAGCTAACTTAGGTATTTTGTATCACTTGTACTAATATAACCTTTTAATTCTTTGTAATTTTACATAGTGAGACACTAAGTGACTAATATATCCCTACTTTTAATTTGTTTCCTTCAATTAGCTATTGAATTATAAATGAATTTTAAAAGTTGATAACTTTTGTATTTCTTATCGGTTTTACATATATAATATCAAATTAATCATCTTTTCATTATCTTCGATTTGACATCCATATTGTATATATAGAATAAATAAATACTATTTACCTTTATAATAAATTTTATTAGAAAAATAAATTATTTCTCAGTTGATATATTTTTGTTTAATGTAGGTATATACTGTAAGTTAAAAAACATTATTATAATATAACACAAGTAAGTCACACAAATAAAAAATATCATACTAGATATATAATAATATATATTTTTATAAAGTTATTTAAATTTTCAACTACTTTTTCTCAATAATTTTAGATTTTAAGGAAAAAATTAGCAAGCACCCGTGTAATACACGAGCGTTGTACTAATTATAAAAGAAAGATGAAAAAAAGAGAAAGATTGAGAAAAAAATATGCCTTACAAACCCCACTTGAATAGGGAATATATTAAAATATAATTAATGATCCAAAAAAGGATTATCAATATCCACTATATTTATGGATATTCTTTCTATTTCTAATGTTTGTTATACTGAAAGTAAATTAAAATTATTCAAGCCAAATAACAAAAAATTAAAATTTGCCACATAGGATATCGAAACGTGCGAGTCTGCCATGAAACTCGACACTTTTGAAAATTATATATAAGGGAGTGCCTTAAATTATTGGTATAATTTATAATTTTTTTATATTGGCTAATTATAACAGTGGCAATAACATGAAGTTGTCGGTATTTTTTTTATTTTTTTTTCTCAGAACGATAGAGGTAACATGAAGTTGTTGAAGTCCTGCCATTTATAAAATATTTATAGCATAGTTGAAAATCAACAACCAAATTGAAAATTGAAGCAAAAAAGTAGTTAATAAACTTAAAATTTCTTCCAACCTATCTACTTCTTAGGTAATAATAATTTGTGGCTATACCTAGGAAATTCACACAAGTTGTGAATACCTATTAAGTTTTCACACAAGTTGTGAATACCTATTAAGTTGCATATATTGCAGCTTTTTAATAGTTAATTTATTACTTAAACTTAATTAGTTATAAGCAGTGGCGAAACCAGAATCCGAATAAAGGGATGGCCGATTTTTCATTAGACCACAACAAATTTTTTTTTCACAATAATACCAAACAAACATAAAACCAAACAAAAACTATTTAAAATATCATTCAAATAATGTTATACAAAACATTAAAATAAGAAAGCAACCTAACTTCCGACTGAGGGAGAAGAATGACTATGATTTGACAGGCGGTAACTGTATTCTTCGGGACGCCATCTTTTGAAACCTCTGTAAAATAACTTCATCTTCAATTTTTTCAAAGAGTTCCATTTCAATGTAACACACCAAACAATCTGTCAGAAATTCATCCCCCATCTTGTTACGCAAATCAGTCTTGATAATTTTCATCGAGGAGAAGGCTCTTTCAACGGTAGCTGTCGCGACGGGCAAAACTAGAGCCAACTCGAGGGTAGTGTGCCATTTTCTCTCAACCATTCTCTTTGCAAGATCTCCAATACTCTAAAGACCAAAGAAAAATGTACGCTCAGATGTTGTGACTACATCGTGAAACTGATTCAATTATGCTTTTAGCTTGAGCTCATCATCAAAATCATTTGGATAAAGCTGAGCGAGGCGGAGTAGTCTTTCAACATCAAAGCTTGCAAAACAATCTCTAGGATCAAGACATACTATGCACTGAATAAGTTCTGAACTCAACTCTTCAAAACGACTATCTATCTCTTGTAAAATACGATCAATAACCTAATATTTTTAGAAACAAAGCTAATTATTCATATAATAATAAATGATAAACTATTTGTTAATATGAAATTAAAGAAATATAAGTACCTGAAAGAAGATTTCCCATCGAAAATGATGTAAATAAGTCTTTGGTTGATCATCCACTTTTTTTTGAGATCTACTAGGCCGACCCGGCATAGGATCTTCCATGCTAGGCACAAAAATACCTTTTCAGAACAAAATGTTGTGACTTTCATCAATAAATCCTCCCAACCATCCTCCCTCAACTTTCTCAAATCTTTCTTGACCGATTTAATCAACACAAGAGCATAGCCAATATTTTGAGTCTTTTCTTGTAAGGCCGCTGACAGTGCACTTGTGCTTGCTAATATCTTCACCATCAAATGAGCAATGAATACAAATTCGAAACTTGTTGATTTATCAAGAAAACCTTTAGCAACGCCTCGACTTTGAAAATCCATGGCATCCTCTATAATACCATCCAAAACATCTTGTACCGCATCCCACATTTCCAAAATTCGGTTGATTGTCCTATAGTGAGATCCCCACCGTGTAGCACCCGGTCGAGCTAAACTTGTTTCTTGATTCTTGCCTGTCCCTGTAGAAATCTCACCACTTTCTATACGTCGTGCAACATCATTATAATGCTTTTCCCGAATAACATCCATCCTTTTACACGAAGCTCCAACAAGATTCACAATTCTAACAAGATAATCAAAAAAAATCCCCAGATCCCTATTCTCAATTGAAGTTGCTAAAACCAGTAATTGAAGTTGGTGAGCAAAACAATGAACATAGTATGCTTGTTTATTTTATTTTAAAATGAGAGCTTTAAGACCATTAAACTCACCATGCATGTTGGAAGCCTCGTCATAACCTTGACCTCGAAGTCTAGAAAGTGATAATCCATGTTTGGTAAAGAACTCATCAATTGCACTTTTCAAAAAGTGTGCCGAAGTGTCACTAACATGCACGACTCCCATAAATCGCTCGATAACTTCTCCCCAATCGTTCACAAATCTCATAACCACAACCATTTGTTCCTTTATTGAAGCATCTCGAGCTTCATCAATCAAAAGAGAAAAAGACTTATCTCCAAGATCATTGATAATGACTTCCCGTAACTCTGTGGCACAAGCGTTGATAATTTCCTTCTGAATTTTTGAAGAAGTCATTTGGTTATTCCCGAGAGCATTTGAGTTAATGACCTTGCACACTTCTTCATTAAGATCGCCAAACACCTTCAAAAGTCGAAGAAAATGACCTCGTTGTATTGAATCTTGTGACTCGTCGTGTCCACGAAATGGCAAACCTTCCCCTAAAAGATACCGAATAGCCTTCAAGACCGCCGTTAGCCGAATACGATAATCGATCTCCATTTGAGTGCTCTTTTGTGATAACACATAATCCACACTGTGTCTTTGATCTCTAAATGCCGAACTTTGAATTGTAGCATAATGATGTGCGCTTTTTAAACCCCCTTCATTCTCCTTGAATTTTTTTAAAGCATTCTTCCAGTTTGAAAATCCAACATCGGTAAAAGCATCATCTCCACCGTGTGTATTACCTCGTTTAAATAAATAGCAAAGTAGATAAAAAACAGCATCTTTCTGAATACTATATTCAAGCCAATTATATTGCGCAAACCACGTCTTTTGAAATGATCTCATATTTGCACCAAAACTAGTTTTCGGAAAATTATGTTCAAGTGGTTGACAAGGGCCTTTTGCTAAGTAGCGTCTCCTCAATTCATCTCTAATCTCAAAACGATAACTATCAATAGGCTTTCTTAATCTTGGATCACCAACAATATCATCCTCCCTCAATTCTACTTCTACTCGATGTTTTTTACCACTATATCTATCCTTCAAACATGGACTATTTGATGAAGATGACAAATCCAGATTCTTCCATTTAGATAGAAACTTATCCATGGTGATCTATGATCTGTAAATAAAAGTACCTAATAACAATAATCAAACAATAAATTCAATATTTCAAATTCTCAAATTTGAACTTCAATACATTATATGTTTCACAAATAACAAATAAATTAATAATAACAATTCAAGACAAATCATATACTCCTATTTATACAGCCTGTTCGGAAGATGTACATGTCCTAAAAAAATGAGATCAAATACTGCACAAAAAAAAAGCAGGTTACACAACAAAATCTTCTATTCTTCTTCACCCACCACTTTTTAACACTACCATGTATCTCCTCATTCATCCAATAAACTTGCGCTCAAGTACATGATTTATTTTGGCTTTTAACTCCTAATACCATCAAATTTTGATAAATATGTAAGATAAAATATGCCATTACCAATTTTTTAACAAATGAAGTTACAATTTTACTAATTAAATAACAATTTACAGTTTTTACAAATTCTAACAATCATAATTGAAAGAACTCCTTCCTACTCCTCCCTCTGAAGAGCGATTTGGGCGAAAAAAATCTCTCCGCGGCTCCTCTTCTTCTCTTCCGTTTTGGCCTCTTCCGGCGACGGCGAGGCTGGATCTGCGGCCGCCGCTGGCCGTCCTTCCCTCGTCTGTTGTCGCTTCTCCTCTATTTATAGTCGTCGCTTCTTATTTCTTCTCTGTTCGTTGGTGGTGGGGGGTCCGACGGCGGTTCCCGGTCTTAATCCGAGCATGTTGATGCTGCTCGTTGAGGTGGGGAGCCCCGTCGTTTGCTCTCTTTCTTGGTCTGGCTTGTGTGGTGGTTTGGTGCAGGGTGAGATTTGGGGGTTAGGGTTCGAGTGGGGTCTGAGGTTCCTCCGGCGGGATTGTCTGGTTGGGATTGTCTCGGTTCGTTTGGGTCCCTGGGGTTGGTGGTTCAGAGCATTGGTTGGGGTTTTGGGGCGCTTAGCAGGGGTCCCGGTTCCTGCTGGGTGGTTGGTGGTAGGAGCGGGTGGGAGAATGGGAGGTTGCGGCTGTGGTGGTGGGCGGCGATGGAGGTGGTTGGGTGGGCCCCGGTGACTGCTATGTCTCGTGCGTGGTGGTTGCCGGGGTTGGGGTTCGGGCTGGAAGCGGCTATCCCATTGCACCTCTCTTTGGGTTGCTTGGGGTCTTGTATTCCGGGGTTGGGCTAGTGGTGTTGGCCTAGCTCGGGTTGCTCCAGTTAGGGTCGCTTGTCCGTTCTCTTCGGTCAGTGGGTTCTATCCTTTAAGTTGGGTTTGGGGGCGGGGTCCTGCCTCTTGTTAGGCCTTTGGCAGTTTCGGGGGTTGGGGCTTGTCTAGGGACCTTCCTTGAAGGCGGATGTAGCTGCTTCTTCGGTTTAGTCGGTTCTCCGGGGGTGGGTCATTTTATTTTTTGCTTCTGGTTTTGTAGGTTGTCTTTTGTTTTGTTCTGTGTGTTTTGTTCGTCTTTGTGTTAGAGATGAATACAGGCTAGTCAGTGTGTAGTGACTATGTTTTTCATTTTCCCTTATTTTCGTTTGTGGAGTTCTCTAGGCCGCCATGTGCGTGTCCTCTCAGTTTTCTATTCATGTTCGTTTAGTAGGCGTTTTTTTGGTTTGGGCCATTGGCCCCTGTCTCATTACCCTGTTGGGGCCTTAGTTATTACCCTATTGGGGTCATGTAATTTGTATCTTTGCACTTTTGTGCTTTTCTATATTACCTCTATCGTTTCGAAAAAAAAAACAATCATATTCATAAATTAGTTATCATTAAAATCAAATAAAATTTTATAATAATCAAGTAGCCAACAAATTAATGTTATAAAAAAATAATCAAATAAAAAATACAAACATATCAATTATTATTATTTAAACTCACTAAATTTCTAACAATTGACAAATAAAGTTATAATTACACTAATTAAACTAACATTTTACAATTTTACAAACATATCAATTATTATTATTTAAACTCACTAAATTTCTAACAATTGACAAATAAAGTTATAATTACACTAATTAAACTAACATTTTACAATTTTACAAACTCCAACTTAAAATATAACAATTAACAAGTCAATTAATATTTTTATAGATAAATTTAAAAGATTAGTTGAAATTTGTAAAACTACACTTTTAAAATAATGGAGAAAAAAAAAACACAAATACCGGAGAAGTTGGAGTCGCCGGCGCCGGAGTTGGAAGCCAGAACAGCGAGGGCGGCGACCGGCCGGCAGGGAGACAGGTGGGCAGCGGCAGGAGGAGCCGAGGAGGGCTGGAGGGGGGAAGGGGTTAGGTTTTGTAATTTGATATAATTTGGTAAGATTTGTGTTAATATTTTTTGAATGAATCAGCCAAAATCTCGTCTCCTCCCTACTTGGGCTTCCCCCTAAATAGGCCTAGTGTGTTAATATTTTTTTATAGAATAAATGGGTTGGGCTTAAATGTATTAAAAAAAAAACAGACGGGAGAGTTTCTTATCCAATCTCCATCCCTGTGCGCAGATCAATTCATGGAAGGGCGCCGCCTCCGGCCGGCGACCTCGACCCCTATACCTATTAAAAAAAAATATGGGATGGCCGAGGCCACTCCTTGCCATAGCGTGGTTTCGCCCCTGGTTATAAGAGCATGTCTAATGCTCAAATGTAGTTGTAGTAAATTACACTTTACATTAACAATGAATGCCTCCACTTTTAATCATATCCAATGCACAATGTTATCACAAATGTAGTGATGAGGTGGACATAATTAATATATAGAATTTAGACAAGAAAGCGATTTATCCACATTCTATTTTTTTTATCTTTAAATATAAATATATAGATCAAAACTGATTTCGGATAACCGGTCAACGGCATACAAAAGTGCAATGGGCAACCACAACTCGGTTCCTCATTCACGCAATAAATATATACGAGGACAACCACATGTCGATTGCTCACTTAAAAGTCATCAAAATGCAAAATGGGTCCTAAGTGAACTCGGTAACTCGTCGGATCAGTGGTCTTCGCGTCAGCGTGCAAAATGGCTTCCAAGGCATGGCTTACGCTCAGAAAAAAAGGTTTTTTGGTCCTTTATCTGCAGGTCGTTTTCAATTTGGTCCCGTAAATGGACCATTTTTAGAAATAATCCCCTAACTAAAAAAAATTAGCTTTTTGGTCCTCTGACCGCCTACAGCAGGTCAGAGTGACTTGCTACGCCTACGTGGAAATGCACTCATTTTTATTTTTTTTTTTTGTTGAGTTGTATGCTTAGGTGGCGATTATATGGCATAATTGTAAAAAATAATCTGACAAGGGGATTCGAACCCATGTCCAATAGGGGAGTAAAAGAGCTCATGGACCACTTGAGCTAGCACACAATTTGTTAACTATTTGATTTCAATTATATATCTACCAATATCATTTTATCTAATTTATATTATTCAATTTGTACTACTTTTATATTTTAATAATTTTTTTTATAGTAAATAAATAGTATTTAATTATTTTATAAATAAATATTTAACGTATTTAATGAAATTAATTTTAATATTAAATAAATATTTATAAAAGAAATGAATAAAATTAATAATATCATAAATAATAAAATTTAACAAATAAATAAATATATTAAATAATATAATAAATAATATTACTTACCAAATGAATAAATACATTAAATAATATAATGTATAATATTTACCAAATAAATACATAAACTAAATAGTATAATAAATAAATAATTATTTACTACATAAATATGTAAATTAAATAATATAATAACATA